TGGAAGGATTAGACTTTGGGTTTTCGTTGAAACGTGAGCAGGAAGAGGCTCTACGCTCAATCATTTTTAAGGACGTATTCGCCGTTTTACCGACAGGCTGTTTGTTTACACTCCCCCACCAGCTTCCGGTCACGCTTCCTACGTCACAGTCAGTTGCTCTCTTTGGTCAGAGCGTTGGCCAATAGGCGCAGACATGGTTTGAAAGACAAAAGCTTGTTCTCATCAACAATCTTCAGATGTCTCATTCATCGGGGCCAGACTAAATTACACATTTAAACTCACATTTAGTCTGGTTTATCAGGCTAACCGCAAGCAGCAGGAGCAGCAAAACCGCGCATGCTTCCTTTTTGATGCTTTTACAAGTTTAGTTCTGACGCGCGGCTAAAGCATCTTTGCTGCTCTAGCTGCACCGTCGAAAAGTGGGTTTGATGCAAATTGGGCGGAGCTACCCTATCCTTTCTTTGCCTTTAACAATGGCAGCTATATTTGCTGTGATCAGTGGGTAAAAAGTAGGTTTGATATATTTTTAAATGAGAAAGTCCAGTTCATCCAGATTACCATCCTGCCATCTCCTGTCAAAGATTATTTCTCTGTTGGAGCCACTCAGACCCCCAAATACAGGTGTAGGTACCACATCTGCTTGGGGCCGTGCCCCTTCTTATGAGGTCAACAAATGACACTTTGACAAAAGGTATTGCACCCATATCTTAAGATCAAATCTTAGACTTAGACAGACTTTATTGTCATTTTGTACACACAGAGTGTATACAAAAATAAATTTCGTTCAGTTCAGCTCTCAAGGCATTTTCATTTTTTTAAAGTGCAGCANTTGTCATTTTGTACACACAGAGTGTATACAAAAATAAATTTCGTTCAGTTCAGCTCTCAAGGCATTTTCATTTTTTTAAAGTGCAGCAATGATAAATGTAAACACAAGACTGTATATTAGTTACATTTCCAATATTCAGGTTTTTTTTTTTTATGACCTCATTTCATACAACATTCAGCAGTCTAATGGCACTAGTGGCATTAGACATGCTAACGCTACAGATGCTCCCAACTCCCAATTACCATTGTCTGGGCAACCACAATCTTTTACACAATGTGGCAACATTCAGCCAATCATGTAACATAATGTCACTGGCATGAAGCAGGACCTAATCAGAACTGGTGCCTACACTGGTGGTGCGCAGTCACTGGATATCCCCGTCAACAGCAGCTTCAGGGCCGGTTGCCTCTTGGGGAATTTCCGCTACTGTTTATGTTGGCTGGAAGGCATTTTTCAAGTACGTAATCCAAACTGCAGGCACCAGAATAATAAAAGCTAACGTATTTTACCGGCTGGTTTAAAATTTTTTATTAAATTTAGGCATTACTGAACTGTTTCAGAGGAGTGATCATAGCGCTCTGCATCAGCAGTGCTGTGTCTGACTCCCTGCCAGCTCCCAGATCAGCTTCTCTGATTGGTTGATGTGGCACATTGCGCGTCAACCATTGACTTTGCATGTAAACTAGCTGCTTCTGCTGCCTCTGCTGCTTGCTGTCTGAGCGTAGCATTAGGCTAATCGGAAAGCATGCTTGCCTTCCCCCTGAAAGACTAATGCAGACTTTTTCATCTGTATACATTGTTTTTTTGCTAATTTCTGTAAATTAGGACACTTGTCAACGTTGAGCCCAATATTGGGGTGTGCTGCATGTACAACTGAATAAATACATGAATAAATCACCATTTAAATAGTTCTGATTGTTTAAATTCGAACCAACTCTGCTGTCCAGCAGTTCCTACATGTTCTCCATGTTCCTGCTGTGGTTCTTACTGATGAAGATGATCGTATTAAATGAGAAGCATCAAGAACTAAATAATGCAGTAAGCTGATGAAGATTCTCAGTCATCCAGGTCAGAGTCATTCCAAAAAAGTTTAAAAACAATCCGCTGGACTTTGTTTCCAAGTTTAAAGACAGTTCCCTTCCCATCCAGGAAGCTTTTTTCAATTCAAAATCCCAGGAATAGCGTTGAGTTCCAGGCTTTATATATTAGCAAGCATTCAAGTCAAAAAAAGAAACGAAAACACGTTCAGTTAGTAGCAGTAAAAGTGGAGCTGATCACTCTATTTTGGAGACAGACAGAATCGACCAATGAGAGACAAGACCAGGCGGATCATCTAGGAGATGATGAAATGTCCAGCATGTGTGTACCTGCATGGCCATAGTCCTGGACTCCTGGTTCTGATGATCAGTTTGTCACCAGAGTACTGGTTCTAGTTATTGAGACAGCTAGGCTCTGGTCCTTGTCAGCAGCCTAATCTCTCTGTTCTTGGGTTATTCCTTCCAGGTCTGGACCAGAATCATGGTGGAGAGTATGCCGCCTATGAGAACCTGATTGAGAGATTCATCACAGCTCTCAGAACCTGTGAAATCTCTCCATATGTGGTTCTAGATGGAGGTTCTGATGTAACTGATAAAAAGGTGGAGACAGTGGCGAAGAGGACTGAGGATCGGGTGAAGAGGGCACACATAGCAGCAGTCACTGGCAAACGGATGAGCGTCCTCCCTCGAATGGCGGACTTGGTCTTCAGACAAACATTGGCCCGACTACAGGTTCCGGTGGCCCAGTGTTTTGAAGAGGCTGACCGGGAGATAGCTGCCCTGGCAGCAGAATGGCGGTGCCCGGTTCTGTCCTATGACAGCGACTTCTACATCTTTGACTTACCAGGTGGACTTTTGCCTTATACTCATTTCCATTGGAAGGAGGTGAAACAGAGCGGTTCTCTGAGCTTCATCCCCTGTAGGAGGTACTACTCCTCCAGCTTCTGCATCTTCTTTGGACTCCAGCCCCAGCTCCTGCCTACCTTTGCTGCCTTGGCTGGTAACGACTATGTGAAGCTGAAAGTGGTCAAATGGGATGACTTTGCCCCACCTGGCACAGAGACCCCCAGCCGTCTGGAGGGGCTGCTCTGCTGGCTGAAGAACTTTGAGGAGACCCAGGAAGCCTTGGAGGCAGCTCTGGTCCTGATGGGAGTACTGAACGAGAACAAAAGGGAGGTCCTCCAAAGACTACATCTAGGGATGGAGGACTATCAGCTGCGACCAACCTCTCTGAACAGGTTCTTCCTTCATGGAGTGCCTCCTGAGATTCCAGCACTGGATGAGGTGATGAAATCCTTATTTCTAAACCCTTTTTACATCAGAACACCTGTACCTAGAACCTGAATGACCCAAAAACACAGAGCTTGTTAGGACTGATTTAGATCTATACCTAAATGCCAGCTGTACACTCTAAGTAAAGACCTAATGTTAGAATATTCGACAAGTAAGATCATTCTAGAAGATCTAGATCTGAGTAGAAGTCAGAAGTAATTATGCTAACATTGACCAGAAACCAATTTTTAGATTGATTTTCAAGCGTTTTGTTCTCTAGGAAGCGGACCTTGTCCCAAATTGGATGCTGCTGCCTCTGACTCAAGCTCGGCTATCTTCGCATATCCTGGATGTGCTGCGGCTCCAACAGATGGGTCTTGGTTTTTCCATTGAGCATGAAAAGCTGCCTAGCGCCAACCTGATCTCCAGGCCAGTCCGACAGGTGCTGTATGGGCTGCTGCTGGGCAGAAGGAAGCCCAACCTAGTGGACGAAATCGACAGAGATGGTCTGGAGGTGACATCTATAAAAGTCAAACCAATATTGACCAGAACCAGCAAGAAGCTTGTACGAAGCTCACTGCATGAGGTGATTTCATTCAACTGAAGGCATCAAGTCTGCCATTTGTTTTCAGATATTTCCCTCACTAGAGATTCCATTGAGTAAACACCATACGAATGGTCTTTCTCCTTTACCATGTCTGTAGGCAGAGCTCTCAGACCGTCTGCAGGTCTTACTGGAAGCTCTGGAAGTGACTGAGGAGTCTCTGAGCCGTCTGCCACCTGAGCTGAAGCTCCCAGCAGCCGTGACCTGCTACTGGCTGCAGAAAGCTCAGCCTACTCCAGACCGTACAATGCTAAAGGCGCTGCTGCTGGGAATGTGCAACAGGAGCACATTAAAGTTCACAGCAGGTAACTGCGACCAGGTTATTGATTGATTGATTGATTGATTGATTGATTGATTGATTGATTGATTGATTGATTGATTGATTGATTGATTGATTGATTGATTGATTGATCAGCCTGTGGAGAAATGTACTCATTCCATCAGCTCAAATAGTCAAAGAAGAAAAATGTGCATGGGGATATATACACTATATTCAGCATGTTTTAAGAGAAAAATAAGGGTTTATTTTGTTCCAAGTCATTCTTTCATTTGTAAAAATCTTTGTTAAATAAATATTTAGTTTGGAGCTAAATATTTAGCTCCAAACTAAATATTTAGTTTTTCAAATTTACGACAGAGTATTAGGCCAGGCTAGAGGTTTTTTTTTTCTATTTCGAGGATAAAGTCATAACATTACGTGAATAAAGTTGTAAAATTACAGGAAATAAAGTCGTAATTTACAAGAAAAAAGTCACAACGAGATTAAAGTCATAAAATTACGAGAATAGAGTTGTAAAATTACGAGAATAAAGTTGTAAAATTACAAGAAATAAATTCATAATTTACAATAAAAAGGTCACAACGAGATTAATGTCATAAAATTAAGAGAATAAAGTTATAACATTACGAGAATAAAGTTGTAAAATTACGAGAATAGAGTTGTAAAATTACGAGAATAAAGTTGTACAATTACAAGAAATAAATTCATAATTTACAAGAAAAAAGTCACAACGAGATTAAAGTAATAAGATTAAGAGAATAAAGTTATAACATTACGAGAATAAAGTTGTAAAATTACAGTAAATAAAGTTGTAATTTACAAGAAAAAAGTCACAACGAGATTAAAGTAATAAAATTAAGAGAATAAAGTTATAACATTACGGGAATAAAGTTGTAAAATTACAATAAATAAAGTTGTAATTTACAAGAAAAATGTCACGAGATTAAAGTAATAAAATTAAGAGAATAAAGTCTTAACATTATAAGAATAAAGTTGTAAAATTACAAGAAATAAACTTGTAATTTTCAAGAAAAAAGTCACAACGAGATTAAAGTCATAAAATCAAGAGAATAAAGTTGTAAAATTACAAGAAATAAAGTAATTTACAAGAAGAAAGTCACAACGAGAATAAAGTCGTAGAATTACGAGGATAAAGTTGTATTTTATGACAACTCTTACAGGAAGCTAGCCTGACGTAGTCCGACTCAATTCTAGTCAGAATGAGTCTGATGCTGCT